ATAAATAAATAAATACTAATCCACTTCGAGATGATTGAGTTAATTTGCTCAGTTGGTTTTAGTGAAGGGAGGACATAGCAAACCAAAAAGTTAGCGCCGCTAACCGCTAACCTACCCGCGAGGGGACATGGGAGATTTTTTTTTCCTTTTGCGTTCCAACGCAATACTTTTTGCGTTACCTCGCAAACGTTTATTTTGTATTAACTGAATTAAATCAGACTTTTATTTTGAAATATCCAGTTACCAAAACAGGACGTGTCGCCACAAGTTCGTGAAATTGACATTGATGTTGCGTCGCTGCACTGTGTTAAAATATTGTACTTCCATGTGTAGCTGTGTGATATATTCAATCAGAAGCTGAGGCGAAACTCGCTAATGGTGAACATGTGAGTTTGTTGATAAACCGGCAGGCACGACAGTGATAAACGACTTTTGCGAGGGAATGCAAAATGAAAACAAAAAAATCCCCCATGTCCCTTCGCGGCCTCCGTACTAACCTGCTACGTAAAAAACTCCAGGTAAAAAGATAAAAAATAGTGGACGCTAACGCTAACTGATAACCGCTAACTCAAGATCTGTTATKTAAACACAGAAACATCAAAATCTTGGCTGAAAGCTAATAAAAAAAACATTAAGTGGAAGCTAATTAGTATGCTAACAGTTTCCAATGTTAGCAAAAATGCTAATGTGCTAAACAAGAAGTTATCTCCTTTATTAGCTGTTAGCAGATTAGCTGAACTAGAACAGGATCTGCTTTAAAAACTTGCTTTTCTTACTTATTCTAAAAACTGAAGCCTCCTCGTGTTAATATAATTTATGTTAAATCTATTCTAAGAAGATTTTGTCTACTTTTTGTTCATCAAAGGCCTAAAACGTCCCGCTTTACTTCTGTTTAGTATATTAGCTTCTGGTTACAGTGGTGGGCACAGTTCTGCTAATCTGCAAACAGCTAATAGTTAACAGCGGAGCTAACGTTATGTTTAGTGGATTAGTGTTTTTTGCCAATTTTAAAAAGCATTAGCAAACTGGCTTCAGCTAAATTTATTTCTGTTAACTTTAAGTCAAAAACAAAAATAACTCCTGTTACACATGCAGTTCTACACGCCTGCGTCATGCGCCTCGTGTGTAGCATCGTTAGCATTTTCTATTKCAACTACTTGTGGTTTTAACTGTGTTTGGTGGACATAGARATGTTTTTTTTAGCTTTTAGTCWAGATTYATRTGTTTATGTTGATAAAATGACAAATAAGGTTTGAGGTTATCAGTTAGCAAGMAGTTATTTCCGCTATTAGCAGTTCGCAGAACTGGAACAGGATCTGCTTTAAAAACTCACTTTTTTACTGATTCTAAAAACTGAAGCCTCCTCATGTTAATATAGTTTCTGTTAAAACTTTTATAAGATTTTGTCTTTATTTGAGTTATCAGAAGCCTAAAACTTCTGTTTTTTTATTAACTTCTGATTACAGTGGTAGGCAATGTTCTGCTAATCTGCTAATAGCTAACAGCAGAGCTAACATTTTGTTTAGTAGATTAGTGTTTTTGCTTACTTTAAAAAGCATTAGCAAATTAGCTTCAGCTAAATTTATTTCTGCTAACTTTAAATCGAAAACAGAAACAACTCTCCCGTCACACATGCAGTGCTGCACGCCTGCGTCATGCGCGTCGTGTAGCATCGCTAGCATTTGGTATTTCAACTATTGTGGTTTTAACATAGAAATGTTTTTTTATGAGCTTTAGGCCGAGATTCTGATATTTATGTTGATAAAATGACAGAGTTTTAAGTTAGCGGTTAGCATTAGCTTCCACTAACTTTTTTACTTCTTTAGTGGTTTAGCATTTGCAAAGCTAATTATTTGCATAGCAGGCTGGCGGCCAGTGAAGCTAACTTTTTGCTGTCTGATTATTTTGTTCCACCAAACTTTAACTGTAGTTTCTAAGCTCAGTTTTTATTCTTTCCTCTGAGGATGGTTTTATTTTCAGTCTGACGACGACGACGTCGACGACGATGCAGAAACTATGAGCTTCAGCTTAGAAGACAAACAAACAGGATGWAGTTTTTTTAATATCTGCTGGTTGAGGCTCGAGTGAGTCCGTCATCRAATCCTTCCCTCATTTATTTTGGACCCTGACGTCCCCGCCGAGTTCCCCACGCACCGCCGCGGTTGTCACGACGCCCCCATACCTCACGTTGTCGTGGCGCTGGATGTAGATCTTGTGAAAGATCCTCTCGGGAGGCTTCAGGAAGTCCTCCTTCATCTCCATGGCAACGTTTCTGGGAAGCAGGCTCATTAGCAGACGCTCCTGAGGAGGGAGACGTTCAGACAGAGGAGGAGGCAGAGTTAGGAATTTAAACTTCAGCAAAAAAAACAAAACCTCCGTTAGAATCTGGTTTTCTGAAATGTTTTCAAATCATCAACTATGATTGTAGCATGAACCAGCTGTTGGTTATTTAGGGTTTTTAGTTGCTGCGAACAAACAATCTGGCACGCTTTAATGGCACTGTTGTTTATAAAACATATTTTACCTTTTATGGTTTTCATAAAAAAAGATGTCATTTATTCCCAAAGTGGAGCGCAGGAAAGAAAACAGCTTCCTGGTCTGAAACTGTCAAACCTTCTTAACGAGCTGTGACTTTTATTCTTATTAAAGGAAAYCCTTGAGAATAAATGTTGCTCTGATGTAATTTAGTTTTTTTAATAAAGAAGTGTTTCCCCTGAATGTTTGTTTAGTTCAGTGTAGGGTTAGGTGATATTGGAAAAAAAATTATTTGCAATTAATAGTGGTAATTCCCTACATGCCTGCATGTCCTAGTCCAATTGAAATCACTCTAGTGGGAAAGATTTGATCTCCGTTAGGGGTGGGCGATATATATCGCAGATGATATTATCGTCCATGTTGCTTTGAAGATATGGAATTTTACATAATTGAGTATTCATACTGTCTCAAAAAGACAACAAATACGGTGGTGAAAGACAGAGGCATAAGTCCCATTTGCGGAATATTTGCCACAGAAACCAATCAGCGGGCAGGATTCAGTCATGTGACTGGGGTCGGCAACGACTACACTGAAATTCAGTATCTGCAAAAGTTGTCCAGAAGTGGTGTTCCTCAGGGCTCAATTGTGGGTGCCATTATATTTTCCCTCTGCTTGCTTCCACTTGCCTCCATTTTCAGGGGATTATTTTCCATCCAGATTTACCTGCCTCTCAAAACACAAAACATCCTGTCTGTCAGACTCTCACTCCACTGCCTCGGTGGGATGGTTTTTGAATTTTAAAACTTTGATGAGAAGAAAAATGAAGCGATTGTTTTGGATAATACATCAACTTGGTGCTTGCCCAATACATAAAGTTAACTGTCACAAATTTAGGAATCTAAATTAACACTAATCTTAAAGGGCTCACAACTGGCCTTATTTTTCATTTCTACTAAAAGTTGTTCAACACGTGAAAACATCGAACGGCTTAGAGAATCGTAAATGTTTGTTACATTTTTTATGTAAACACGTTGTCATTTTGCTACCAATAAATGTATATTTTGTATTAGTTTCTATGTTCTGTACACTATGGACTGAAACAATCAAACTTAAGTAAATTAGCTTAATTAACACCATAGGAGTCATTAGCTTTGGAGGTAGCCACACACACACACACACACACACACACACACACACACACACACACACACACACACGGTGGGCCATTTATATAGATACACCTGAAAAAATGGGAGTGGTTGGTGATATTAACTTCCTGACTGTGGCACATTTGTATTTGGGAAGGGGGAAACTTTTCAAGCTGGGTGGTAACCACGGCGGCCATTTTGGATCCAATTTTAGTTTTTTCAATGGGAAGCTAGAAGCTAAAAACTAGCTTAAAATAAATTTTTAGTCTTTGTCACTTTTTTAAACTATAGATTTGTCATTTTGTTTGTACTTTTCGAAGGAACTAGAATTAATTTACTTGTTTTTCGTACGACAATTAATTTATTATGGAGGAGACTTTAGAAATAAAACTAGACATAAAATTTTCCAAACCCTGAGCAGATCATGTGGATGTTGAGGATAGGACGGGGYCAGTTTATCGCTCCAGTATAACAAAACATTTTCAAAAAGCAAGCCTTTGATCTCTAAATTGGTATWTTACCCTCCTGAAGACAAAAAAAACTTGAAGCTGTATCATTAATATCAARCCCACTGACACAATAAGGAGCTCGCTCTGCAGAAACTCCTCTCAGTCTCAACAGATCAGCTCTTTTATTTGTGGAAGGCCTCGGTCGCAGCAGCATGAAGAGCACTCGAAACTCTCCCAGGATCATCTGATGGCCGCGCTGAAAAGCTGTTAGGAGGCAGAGTTACACTTCCATTCACAAAACCAGCCGTCTCACTTACTGAGTGGGAAAAGGCCGACGCTCCAGCGCTCGTCTGCAGCTTCTACTGTTTGTTTTTCATGTCGGCTMACGGCACAGGCGAGCTGAAAATAGCCTTCGCTTGATTAGGAATCAATAGATCCGACTGAGACACACCTGAGTGACGGTCAGAGGTACGTTTGGACCATCTGATGGGAGACCGTCAGGTTGTGTGGCTCACAGGAATCACAGCAGAAACCTGGTTGTTGAAGTCTGCTTGTGTAATTGCCTGTCAGCGGGGAGCCCGTTACCGCTCCTAATCTACGAAGAACAGGTGCYGAACGAGCACGAGGACTTACGAGCATTCTGCAGAGCAAACCTTAGATGTGTCTTTAAATATCAAACGCAGGCATCTCTGCTAAAAACAATATATGAAACTGTAGGATGGATTTTAACAAAACAACAGATTTGACGTCAGAGTCAACTCGATTCAAGATGGCCGACTCATCTCAGGCAATTTCACAGACATTGAGCTAAAACTTGAAAGCTAACAGCGGTGGGCAAAGAACTAAAATATAGCTTCACTATTATTGCTAAATTACTAAACATGTAAAAAAAAAAAGCTAACGCTGAACAAGCTAAATCAAGCATAAGCTGACAGCTAACAGCTAATAGCTAAATGCTAATACGACTGTCACTAAGTCTGTCAAACATCTTCGCCTCCTTGGAGCTGAAGACTGACGGGACTGACACAAACCTGCTGATGTTAGCTTGTTAGTTAGCCTTTAGCGGACTTAAAGTTGGCCAAAGCTAATTTTGCGGAAGCTAATTTTTCTGCTAAAAGAAAAAAAATGTTTTGCTGTTAGCTGATTAGAGGAACCACGACCACAACTGAGTGTAGACGTTACTTAACCTATACCAAATTATACCTACGGCTGGGCGATATGGCCCAAAAAAAAAAAATCTCAGATTTTTTTCATCCCGAATTTGATTTTCGATTTTATTCGATTTTGTTTCCCACTTTGCTCTTTGCTAGCTGCCATATTG